TGCTTAGGCTGCTGCCCCCGCGACCCGGCCTCGGATAAAGCGGAGGAAGATGGATGGATGGATGGATGTATTCACATGTGTTCTCAAACTAAATGCAAAGAGAGCCTTAGAGCAGCACAACAGTGTAAAAACAGTAATGGGCAACAGAGCAGGGGTAGAGTTCTGATTGGCTGCTCTTTCATCGAGTTTGTGTGTGAAGGCCAGCAGTAGCAAAAAGAGATCTGCGTTACGTACGTGTTTGAAATAAAGATTTCACATCAGAGTTAGTGTGCCCATCTTTTATACTGGGAAGAACCCATAATGTTTTCATGTGGACTGAAACAGCCAATAGTGAAAATACCTCAGAGTTCTCATGTCTGTTAACAGAAGGGCCAGCTGGCGGGACGAGTGTATAAACATGACTATATGATTAGAGGATCTGCAGCCTCAGGAAGTGCCTGAACACTTCAGCATCTGTTTGTGTTGCACAGAAACCAGCAGGTGAAGCAGTTTCTCATCGTGGCCTGTTGTACAGTTCTGGGCTCTGAGCCAGTCTCCATATCCACAGCTGGCTTCTCTGAGGTCATGTCAGCCTGAAATTCCCATGCTTCACATGCTATGGAATCTGGAATCAATTATTCCCACTATTCCCACTGCATTAAACTGCTGTGAAAGAAACTCCACAGAGCTCGAAACTCTCAGCCCACAAAGTTCCAACGAACGGGAAACTTCTCTGCTTACAAAAAGACAACATGGGAAAATCAACACTGGTTCCCTTATTTCCTGACGGTTTTATGACCTCTGGCAATATTTATTAATGTAAAAAAACTATTAAAAACTAGTAACAACCAAACGAAACCAACCTTTTTCCCCTACTCTCAGTATCCATGCTAAGCTAAGCTCAGATTAGCTTTTCCCCTTTTTAAAAGACCTTTGTAAACCTTCCTCCCACAGACTGTACTCTACAATTTCTCATCGTCCTTAGTCCCTACATTTGTCTCTCTGGTTTCAGTCACTGCTGATAGAAGTCATACCCTGTGGACACTGTGTTGCTGTTGTGGTGATGCCGTACAGGCGAGAGCGTTTCTGTGGCAGAAACTCTTCTGTCTCTTTCCCCAAGTGACGATCCACAGCCACCACGGCCTCCCTGTAAAACACCCACAACCTTTTAAATATCTCAGAGGCCACATGTGTCAGATATGTCACATTAACACTGCCATTAGTCACAATGTAGTGGATGTAAGATACAAAGCACTTGCATAGGAAAAAGGGCTTGTGTAAATAGGTGAACGAGGCATGTTGTATAAAATGTTTTGAGTTCTCTGAGAGTAGGAAAGTGCTATCTGGTCTTTAAGGCTGACGTCATTAGCCACTTCCAGGTCCAAACTCCGCTCCAGGTCCCAAAGTCAAACGAACACTGCGACATCACTGAGCGTCACAAACTGTCTAAATTCTTTCATCTTTAATAAAATGATCAGCGTTGCTGCTTTACCAGGTGTAACTATGAAGTTTAACATGCAGGATGCTGTAAACGGACCAAACTTCAGTCAGGAGAACTACTGAGATAATCCATCCACAACACAGGTTAGTCATTCATATACTGCTGCATGTGCTGGGCTGTAGTTACATCGGAAGTTTAAAAACTGAGCTTTAAAATGAACAATAATAAAAACCGAGAGAGGCCGACAGCGATCACTGACTGTTTTAGTGATCACTAAACACTATTTAATCTGGCTTGTTCAGATTAAATAGAACAAGATACAAAACATTAAAACATGTTAAAAATACAACAGCCTTAATACACTCAGAGCAGTTTGGACCCGGAAGCAGGGTGTTGTGGCCATTTTTGTTGAATGTTTATAAAACGCAATTTGTATTCATTTTTGTTTTTTCTTTAAAGTTGTAAGAATATGCTGACCTAGTTTTGTTATGGAAATTTGTAATTCATTTTATTGGAAACGTTTTTGGAAAGTGATTGGTTTATTGGCTTATGGACCCTCCCATTAATCAGGGGATTAAGAGCACCCTGGGGGGGTGTGGTAAAGATGGTTTTTTGTTTGCCAAATGTCTGATGGGAAGACGGGAGGGTTAGAAAAGGATTTTTTGACCACTTTTGAAGTTGTTAAAGCAAATTAAGTAAACTTTCGTTTAATTTTAAGTTTTAAGAAGTTATTTGGTTGATTTTTGTTTATAATTTTCCACGAAATAAACGACATATGATTTTTTAACAATGGAGTCAGACGTGCGTTCTAAAACAAACCTCCCGTTGCCACCCACGGCCTTTTCTTGGACTTTTTTGGTGTTTGGAACATAAAAGGCAGGGTTCATATGTCATCACTTAAAGACCAGATATAAGACTCCATGTACCATTTGACAGTTTTGAGCCAGGACTTTCTGGATTTAGATCAGCAGAGCTCTAAATAAAGAAAAATGCAAAGTAAACGTCTTAGTTGGTACCTCCTCCAGTCAGTGTAATACAGGTTTCTTCCAAAGGAAACCAGGCCAAACGGATACTGGATCCCTTCGACGATATTCCGCCTCAGTTGACGGTGAGGATCCATACACTCCACGTTCCGAGTCCCTGCAGAGTCATTGGGGTAAGTAATCCAGGAACACATTACCAGTAGGAGCTCTGAGTGCTGTGTATGGATGTGAGGAAGGCTTTTTCCTACCTGCATCTGCCCAGCACAGCTGTTGGTTTTCATAGTCAAAGGTGAGACCGTTGGGAAGTGCTAGATTGTCTTTGACCAGGACAACTCGCTCAGTCCCATCCATGTTGGACATCTCAATTTTAGGCCCGTCTCTATTCCAGTCTGCCCAGTACAGCCGCCTGAGACCAACATCACAAAAACCAGTTACAAGAAACTGCTACTGCTGGGTTCATGATGCAACTTCTGCTCTGATATTAATTTCACTACTAGCAGACTCAAGCGCATTAGTTTCACCAAGAGTCCTGAAGTTATTGCTAGTAATTAGAATATATGGCATATAGTGATGGATATATTGGACAAAGGATGCTGATTCATGGGTGTAGTGAAGGACGCAGAGGGTTGGGGTGACAGAGGAAGATGCTGGGAGGATGAGGAGGATGATAGAGGCTGTGGGAACCTTCTAAAGGAAGCAACCAAAAGCTGTAGTACACATAGGGTCAGTGCTACTCCTCGTTATACGATTACATAGTGTTACTGCTAACACCAATACAAATACTATTACCCGTATGCTGGGTTGGTGACGATGGGTCGAGGGTTCACCAGGTCAGTGTCAAAAAGGACTCTCCGGTGGCTGCCGTCCAGCTTTGAGACCTCTATGGTGTCTCGCGTGGAGTCAGTCCAGAACAGAAGGCGGGCCACGTGGTCAATGGCGATGCCTTCAGGACTCTGCAGCTCTGAGGAGGAGCAGACATGCTTAACACTGAACACAGGGACTGATGGCACCACTGCACTTAACTGCCAAAGGATGAAGAGCTCAACTTCATCAGGGGCGTGGCAGGAACATCGAAAAAAACGACTTAAACTACAAGTCACTAGTTTACAGGTAAGAAGTACAGACCAGGAACATTCCTGTGGCCACACAAGCTGCTCAGGAACACCGGAAAAATACTGACGAGCCTTTTCAAAAGATTTTTGAAGAAGCATCCACGGGATCTACCAGAAGGTTCCCGGAGTCGGATGTTCAATCCCTAATACTGGGACAGTTTGATCTTTGGTTTTGAGAATATAGTTTAGCTCTTGTGACAGCAGCTGAAATGAAACCATCCACTGCTAGAACAAAGAAGTCCTGGGTAGAACTTCTCCTGCACCCGAGTACTCAAACAAAGAAACCACACAAGCTCCAGGTTCAGCACAAAGTGGAGCCACATATCAAGGTGCTTCTGCTCAGTCACGACACCTGCTGTACCTTTAGTAACAACTGGAACGACGTCTCCTCCAGTGAGGCTGGCCTTGCTGATAGCTGGTCCAGTGATGTCGGTCCAGTAAACCATCTTCTCCACACAGTCGTAGGCCACAGCGATCACCACGCGATCCTGGTCGTGAAGGAAGAAAAAGATCAACTTTTCATTATTTTAACAGACAGCTGTGTTTCCAGCTGCAACACATTAATGCAGATGTGCCAGATGATTTATAGACTTCATGACAGAGACGAAGAGCTCTGAAAACAGCTAAAGAACAACGTGAATGTGTGAGGACTGAATGCCATAAACACAAAAATCATAATCCAAGAACACATTCAGGGTCTTACAGACATCTGGTTTGATTTGTTTTCCATCTTTTCAAAAGACCCTCGTCCGAGTCTAGAGACAGAGAGCATAGTGATGTCACTATGGTACCAATCGTAGATAATTAAACCAAGTGGCATCTCTCTGAAGAATATCATTATGGCCACAACACATTCAATTCAGCACCAGATCACAGCAGCAGCTGTCTCAGGGTGTTTTACACTGTAAGGTAAAGACCTGACACTAAAACATCTCAGGCAGCAGGACTGCAGCAGTATCTGTGGAGGCTGTCAGCAGCAGCAGCGCCATTGTTCTTACAGGGACGTGCAGCAGAGGTTTGGCCTCCTCCTTCTTCATGATGTATCCATCGAGCGGCACATGTTCGATCTTCCCACTTTGAGCGAACAGCAGGTATGCTCCAGGAGCGATGGGCTGGACATCGGGCCGCGGCGTGGGACCGATCGGAGCGGGAGTAACTGCCTGATCGATGCCTGTGTAGGAGAAGAGTCATGCTGGCAGTGCGCTTTGTGTAGACATGTAACAACTAGCCTACAACCTTCACCAAGACGATACTGGCCTCTCTAAAACATCACCTGTCTGACACATCCAGGCTTATATAAAGGTACATGTACAGCATCATGTTACACGCATACACCAGCTGGACTCTGCACATATTAAACTACATATATATATATATATATATACATATATATATATATATATATGGCCATGGTATGCTGTGATTATGTTTCTAATCACAGACTGATTTCATCTTTTGGGTATTTAGATATTTGAACGCTGCCATTTATTTTTCTATTAAGGCAGTGGGTGTGTCGGGTGGGGTCACTCTGGTGTGAGTGGGTATGATTTTCGTGTGGCCACAAGTTTGAACGGATGAACTGATCCAGATCTAGATGGACTGCGCCTGGGAAGCTGATCAGCATCGTGGGTTTATTGGTGTTTCTAGATCTATTTGTATTCTATTGTATATATTATTCTATTTTACTCTACTGTATATAGTATTTTTATTTGATTCTATTCCAGTGTCTTCTAATTTCTGCTACATAACTTTGCACTTTTGCTGTATCAAAATCAAATTTCCCACCTGTGTGACTAATAAAGGTTATCTTATCTATCATTATTTTCAGTGCTTTAATCAAATGGATGTTTTTATTGTGTATTTTATTTTTATTTATTTAACTGTGTGTGGTGTGCAGCTGTTGTTGTCCCTTTTCCCTTTGATGTTTTTTTAGTTCGGCTTTAGTTCCTCTGCTCAGCTGTGTACGCCATCATGAACAACTGGGAGGAGCCTTGTAAAGATGGACCAACCTGTTTGTTTGTTTGTGCCACTTCCCCTGTATTACAGGTCCCACACAGCACTGACTCCCAGCTGTTTGCAGTGCAGTGCTATGAGTTTAATGTATGAAGTTATTATTACCAAGTAGTATTGTGGGTATATTTCTTAGTTTTTACCGGTTCTTCCTGCAGTAAATATAAACAACGACAGTATTCAGGAAGAAAAACAAACATTGCAGATATTTTATCATAACTCTGGTTTTACGTGGCCGATCAACACAATTTAAAAACTGGTATAAAGTCCACACTTTGTCCGTCAGTTGTTCCGTCTGTCCTGCTCACATCTCCAATGGTTGTACTCGTTGTCATTAACTTCACTCCACATCAGCTGCTTTGCTAAAACACCGGTGTCGCACATAAGGATGCTGTCATAGCCTGTCAGCCACGTTGATCAGCTGCGTATATACGAATGTGAATCGCATCATTGGCTGGACTGTGGGATAAGGTGGCATCGTTCTGATCCCATACGGGAGCAGCCAGTCACTGACTCACACTGCAGAACAGAATTGTTAACGTATTTATTTTAATTTCAATTCAGGTTAGATTTTTTTTTTGTGCGCAGAGACGTGCCAGCAGTGCGCAGCTTAGAGGGAACATTGCAGCCTGGCTACAGAGCTGAAGAGAAACCTGGGGTTGTTCTTATTTTCTTCAATCAGTGATGAGTAGTAAGCTGTTCTGGCTTTGCGGAGGGCTTTCTTATAAAGCAACAAACTATTTCTCCAGGCTAAATGATGATCCTCTAAATTTGTGACACGCCATTTCCTCTCCAGATTACGAGTCATCTGCTTTAGGGTACGTGTTTGAGAATTATACCACGGGGTCAGGTACTTCTGATTAGAGACCTTAGTTTTCACTGGAGCTACAGTATCCAGAGTCGTACGTAGTGAGGAGGTGAAATTATTAACAAGATAATCGACCTCTGTTGGGGTAGCGTTCAGATAGCTGCTCTGCTCTGTGTTGGTACATTGAAGATGATAACAGTGGCTGGATTATATTCTTAAACTTAGTTACAGCGCTTTCAGAAAGACATCTACTGTGATAACGTCTACTCTCCACTGCTGTGTAATCAATTATTGTAAATGTAAATGTTATCAGGAAATGATCAGCAGAGGGTTTTCAGTTATATAACATTCGACAGTATATTCATCATGTGCAGCTTCAGGCAGAAAATAAATCATATTTAAATTGAAACGAACCTCATATGAGTAAAAAGTTTAATATATCGATAGAATGACACGACAAAATGTTTGTTTCCCGATAGCACAACATCAATAAGCAGAAACAGAGACTCACAAAGAGGAGGGCTACTGTGAGGTCCTGTGCGGGTGTTGGCGATCTCCTGCCCGTTGGCGTCCACACACCAGCACTGCCCAATGCTTTGGTGGCACTGCGTGGGCTCGTAAGCGCCGTGCTCGTCACACCGGGGAACGTACCGACCGACAGGACGAGGGCGGAATGAGAAGGGAACGTCAGAGTCGGCTACGGCGCTCTCTCTCTGCTGCTCACACTGGGTCTTCTCACGCTCTGAGGACACACAAGAACGCGTTCACAGAGTGATCGTCACGCCCACGGAGACGTACCCGTGTCTTTAGAGAGTCAGATGTTTACAGTCACACAGTGGTAGCATCTGATGACATTAGCAGTCAGTATAACGCATCCACAGAAAACATGAGGCTCCAGCTCCTGTCAAGTTACACCTGCTCTTGATCTGTTATTGACATCACTGGCCCCGCCCCTTTCTTTCTATTTAGCATCCAAGCAGTCAGACTTCTGCAGTACCTCCCAGGCCTTTCTTTGGACACTGGCTGCTTTCATCCATGAACCAGAAAACTTTTCAGATAATTTGTTATGTGTTTGTTACTGAAACCACATCACCTCTGAATCACTAAAGCATGGAAGGGTCAAGATCTGCGAGGCAGACCGTCAGGAGATGAGAAGTGTGGACCCAAGTGCAAGCAACTGAGTAAATGAATGAGTTTTATTTTCAGGTGAAGCACAAACAAAAGCATCGCAGGGAACTAAACTAAACAAAGCAGCTACAAAACAATAACACAGAGGAACAAAACCCTGAGACTAGAAACCTGAAAAGTCCAACAGGAGGCGATACACAGACGAACCAGCAACTAACAGAGACAGACACGAGGCTTAAATACACAGAGGGACAACGAGGGAATGAGACACAGAAGGAGGACACAGCTGGGAGTAAGACATGACGATGGGGACGCAAAATACACTGACATAAGACACAGACCTTCACTATAAAACAGGAAATGCACGAGGAGCACAGACATGACACGAGGGGGAAACCCAGTGAACTAAACTGAACAACTTAGGACTGAGAATAACTCCAAGAACAACAAATGAACTTAAGATGATACAGAAACGCAAGGAAACAAAGAACGCTGGTCAAATGACCCCGGACCATGACAAAGGGAGCTGTTTACTAAAGGGACGAACCAGTCAGCACATAACAGACAACCTAAGAACACATTTTAAAGTGTATCTTTGTTAAAAGCAGCATGTTGAAAAACTCCATACAAATTATTTTTGCACCAACAGCGTGATTCCCAAAGCCAACGACGTGACACAGTGTCTGTAGAAGTCTGAGGAAACTGGAGGCTAAAAAAGAGACGTGAGGCCTAAAAACTGTGTTCAGCAGGTGATCAGGAACTGAAACTGATGCTGCAGTAAGTAAAGTAAGTAAGTAAAACTTTATTTATATAGCACCTTTCAAGATAAAAATCACAAAGTGCTTCACAGAAGCTAAAACCTAAAAATAAAAATCAACCAAAAGCAAGTTTAAAAAGATGAGTTTTTAGCTGTTTTTTAAAAGC